TTTATCATCTCAAATTATGCTATACAGAAAAAACCTGAGAATAATACCAAACCTGTTGCTGATGTATCTCAAATTATTCTACAAGAAAAAAATTTCGTGCACACATATCAAGGACCATATTAGAACATCTGATCAATCATATAGGAATAGGAACTAAAAAAATTAGCTCAAAAAATATTGGGATATACAAAACAAAACTAATTCCTTGTCATGATTTGTATATATACGCAGCTCATGTTCACATGTATAAAAGAGGGGCCCATGGGATTAGATTATGAAGACCTTGAATCTAAAATTGACCTGCAACTATTTCATAGTGCCGAGAGATTGCATATCGAGACAGAGGAGCAGTTATTAGATCCATAATTTCACGCATGATATAAATCTTCACGTGGAGCCCGCAAGTATCTTTTATCTACTCCAGACCTATTTCAGAGTCTTGAGGGGTGGAAAAGAATCTAGGAAATGGAGATGCCACATAGACACCATATCATCATTTAAAGAAGTAGCGGAAGTAGATTTTTAAGAGAAAAAAACTTACATTTTTATCTAGAAGTAGCAGAAGTAATCTCTACTTCCTCTACTTTTGCTGTTTCACAGTTATTTCCGTACAAACAAATAGGCTCTTAGTAGACCCCATCGAAATTCAGCACCCAAATCCTTATCAAAAAAATAAAAAATAAAAATATATAGAGGACTACTCTAATCACACTAGTTTATTAATTGTTTCATTTCAAATTCAACCATTTATATAAATTCTAATCCACGTGAGTTTCCTCTTGTCATACACAACTGTAACAAAAATAATAAATGTTCGTGATTAGAATAATAATGTTTTTACCATTTCCAATAAAAAAGAAAATCCAAATCTTCACAGCTAAAGAATATTTGAAATATTATTAATTTTTAGTCATAATCGTAAATTAGCACGTGACTACGGCTCATTCCAAATCTATTCCTCATCCCAAATCCTAATCATGCACTCCTACTAAATGATCTTGAATAAATATCCATTTTTTTCAAGTTTTTTTCTTTTTTTTTGGATTAGATAGGGTTTAAATTCTTTTTCTCTCTGGCATAGCTTCAAATACTCCTCCTATGGTTTTCAACATCTCACGATCTTGATTCCATTCCCAACTGTGTTATCATATCATATCATACTCCCTTTAAAAGCGCGAGTTCGGAAAAATCTTTCTATAGTCAATATTATCCTTTACTATTTTAAATATTTCATTTATATCTTAATTTAATCTAATCATAATTATATCCTATCCTAATCCTACGTGAACTATCTATAGCTTAACAATTTAAAACAATAATATTAATAAAATATATAAAACATTTTTTATGGTATTAGTTTGTAAAGATATAGAAATTATACCTAGCTAATGAACTACAATACATAAAGTATTGTAAAAAATTCTAAAATTTTTTAAAATAGCACAAAATACTAAAAATTTTAAAATTATAAAAACTATCCCAACGTCTAAAAACTTAAAACAACAAACATGAAATCAAGAAATTAACAACAAAGAATTTAAAATTTGCAAATAACATCTCATTATCTCAAAAATTAGAGAAACACTCTCAAAAGTTTAAATTACAAACAAGTACCTGAAAATTCTAAAATTCCAAGACTTACAAATAACATAGATGAATTCAAGGCATTACCATGGTGCACCAATTTTTTTTTAACATTTTAAAACTTAAAAAAATAAACATGAAATTAAAAAATTAACAATAGCCTCCAAAGAATTTAAAAATTTTAATTAACACCCTTAATGTCCCAAAAATTATAGAAACTCCCTCAAAAGTTCAAATTATAAAAAACAACCCTAAAATTATAAAAATTATAAAATTTTTAAATAACAAAAAATGAATTCAAGATATTACTCTCATGCACCTAAAAATTTAAAATTTACTAAAATTAACCTTAAAGTTACAAAAGTTGTAGAAAAAATTCTTTCAAATTTTAAAAATTACAAAAAAAACTCTAAAATTTTAAAATTTATAACCAGTACACAACAAATCTAAAAACTACTGGTAGACGCTAAAATTTGAATTTTATAAAATTTAATCTATAGTTTTAACAATTGCAAAAACAGCCTCAAAATTTTAGAGTTGTAAGAAATATCGTGATATTTAAAAATTACTACCGACACATAAAACATAGAAGTTATAACTATCAAACTTAAAAGTAATTTTTTAAAAAGGCTCCCAAAGTTTTAAAAATTATAAATCACACCCTCAAAGTTCCAAACCATAAAAAAGGGCTAAAATTTTAAAACTTTGCAAAGAAAAAGTATAATTGTTAGATATTCTTTCATTAAGATATATATATTTAATTTCCAATTTAGGGTTTATTATCCCTTTTCAGCATCTAAAGACAATATATGTTGATACTCATAAACAAAAAAAATAAGAATTGATTAAAAATATCCTGTTAAGAAATAAAAATATTAAAAATATTAAAAATATTATAGCTTAAAAAGTATCATCACCATATAAATTAAAACAACTACATAAAATTTTACTAATAAGTTGGAGCAGCAAAACACATTAGTATAGATGTTTAAATCCATAAAAATGATAAAAAACTATAATATAATAGCTTATAATTATACGTTAAAAATATTAATATCTAATGTTAATAATATTTATAGGATAAAAGAATACAATGAATTATGTATGGAAAAACTATCAGAATGTTCGGAGATATCATTCAAAAGAATCAAACTATTTCCATTATAAATGGGAAAGTGACGGAAATCTAAAATTCAGAAAACGTCCATGAATCATTTGAATTAGCATTAACATAGGACATGTCTATTACAGAAGTATCAACTGAGTTACATTGAATAATAATTTAATAACTTTATCCTAATTAAAGAATAATTCTCCATGGAAGATGTAAGAAAAATTAGTAAGCATTCATAAGTTTTATACTTTGTTCTTCAAATACTAAAGAAATTAAATATTAATATTATAATCTAAGGCAAATTGGTAATAATAAATGCATGTATTTAGTTTAGATCTTTATAAAAAATAGCAGGGATAGAGCAAATGTAATATTATTACGTAATAGAAACTCTTATTGGATGCACATCAGAAGAATTCATCGTAGAAAAAAAAGAGGTAGCTCCTAATCTTATTTAAGTAATAAATTAGGAACATAAAGATTTATATATATATGAAATTAACATTTATTCTTATTGAAAAAAAATCAAAGTATGTATTTCAAGAAGTTTGTGTTGAACATCAGAAATACATTTAACTTCTTTATGAAGTTAAACAACAACATAAAAGATTAACGAGCCCAGGAACGATAACAGTACAAAAAGTACAACTCTAGCCAGATATTACAATGGAATAGATGATGAAGATACTACTCTAGAATTGCCCGGAAAAAAGATAAAGGTGAGGAATAATTGATATTAGTTCAGTAAAAAATAAAACAGAAGGAATAAAAGATAATATTTTTTGAATATTTTATAGAATAGTTTAATTATTTTGAGTGAATTTAGAAATCTTTAGAAGAGAGTTTCATAAGTTTTTTTAGTACTTTTATATGCTTGTGCAGATATTTTTATCATATGAAAGTATACTAGAGTTAGTATTAATCTTTAATGGAAAAATTGTTTCTAGGCCCCAAATTTATATTTTCAACGTGCCCCAGCCCCTCCTACTTTTTTTAATGTTCTTTAGCCCCTCCTTTTTGAAAAAAATATGCCCAAGCCCATCCATCACTCCTCCATCATGATTCCAGCTCATTTCATCAGTTGATTAGACATGCCAGCTCATGATTAGACATATCAGCTGACTTAAATCCCAAATTTACCCTCCTCTTTCTCATGTTAGTGGATGTTAACTCTTTTCTGTAACATGTTAATTCTTTTCTGTAACATGTTAACTCTTTTCTGTAACATGTTAACTCTTTTCTATAAAATGTTAACTTTTTTCTGTAACATGTTAACTCTTACAGATAACATATTAATTCTTACAGCTAATATGTTAACTCTTACAGCTAACATGTTAACTCTAACAGCTAATATGTTAACTCTTACAACTAACATGTTAGCTGTAAGAGTTAACATGTTACAGAAAAGAGTTAACATTTTACAGAAAAGAATTAACATGTTATAGAAAAGAGTTAACATATTACAAAAAAGAGTTAATATTAATGTGCCCATGCGAAGTTCCTCAGGACGACGCCGGCGGCGGAGCGGGGAAGGGGGCAAAGGGGGACCGAAGGAGGAGGAGGGAGGTGCAGCGGGGGAGAGAGACGGGGGGAGGGAGGCGGGGGAGGTGCAGCGGGGTAGGGAGGCGGTGAGGAGGAGGAGGGAGCTGTAGGGGGAGGGAGGC